GGCCACACACAACTCAACAGATTATAGGGTTTATTAGGGAAGCACCAGGCTACAGTTCAAGTTCATGAACAATGCTCAGTCTCTCTCAGCCTGCTGTCTCTCGGCCAACAGTCTCTCAGTCTGTCTCCCAGCAGGGCGTGTCTCTCTCTCAGCAGCGCATGTCTCTCAGGAGTGCATTTCTCTCAGCAGTACGTCTTTCTCAGCCAGCACTCAGACTCCTTCTGCTTCTAGGAGGGCTCCTTTTGAGCCTGGCAGAGTGGCCAAACTATCCCAACATCAGAATTCTACACACCTGAGAGAGAGCGAACTTTCCAGACAATTGCTTTGTGCTGCTCCCGACAGAAATACCCCAGCTGGATAACTTTATCAGGGGCTACTCAGTTGCTCATTGCAAATTGTACCGTGGAGTTTACAAAGACTTATGGCTAGAAAAGCCACACCATGTAATTTACTAGACTGTAGGTTTAAACTGCATATGGACATTCTTATAGCACATACAAATGCATATGTAGGAATATCATCTGCCAAACCTAAATATGGGCATGGGTATATTCCCATTTGTGTGACTAGCACAATATCACTAAGGAAAAGGAAGACATGGCACAGAGAATAAAGGCAGATCTATTGCATACACAATATCGTGTTGTCAGTAACAGCAAACACTAACCTACGGGGTGGTTACACAGGAGGACAGGCAAGAAGATCGGGTATGGACAGACGAATGGCATGGCTCATTTTCGGCCTGGTAGGATGGCAATACTGGTCAATCTCCATGTTAGGGCTCCATATACCTTATTTGCATGGTCCCACCCCCACAAGGGTGCCATGTACCTTATTTACATTATTAGCAAGCTGTCCAATCCCCTTGGTGGGCCACAGGCACCTCACATTTGCACTCAGGCATCTGGTGGGAGTCATAAAGACCATGGCTAGAAGGGCCATACCTAAGAATTCACTGCACTGCAGATGGGGAGTGGTTGATGTTAGAAATGGTGGAGCGTGTGGTAGTTCAGGCTGTGTGTCTCTGCGGCTGGTGGTTCGGCTGTGTGTCTCCGCGGCTGGTGGTGCGGGCTGTGTGTGTCTCCGCCGCTGGTGGTGCGGCTGGGCCGTGATTTCGAGTGGCTGGGCAGCTGGATGCAGTTACTGCCCATGATGAGGTTGGACGTGGTATATTCACCTCCAGGGTAGAATCTGCTCTGAGCAGCTAATCAGTTGAAGAGGAGTTGCCTGCGGGGTGTGGCCTGCTTCAGGGGTATATGGACAGGGTCCTGCATTTGACCATTACCGTCTCCAGTTCCTGGACTTGAACCAGTGGCCCGCCATGCTGCCTGCCGATCGTGGGATTGTTGTGTTCGCAGCCTGTGAGCCAGCACTGTGCAGCCTGCTGTCACAGCTGCCAATCTTGAGTTTGTCAGCCCCTGCAGCTGCCTGAGTCAGGAGAAGCCTCCAGCTTGCTCCACTGGGTCTGGAAGGTGAGGCTGAAGCCCAAGGTCGAGGGACCTCCTCTTAGCCCCTACAGCAACCTGAACTCGGACTTCTGGCCTCATCTTTCCCTACAGCCAACACTCAGAGTTCAGACTTCTAACCTCCTAAACTGTAAGAGAATAAATTTCTGTTAGTTGAAGCCATCCACTGGTGGTATTTCTGTTACAGCAGAACGAGAGAACCCAGACAGAGTGGTCCAGCAGTCTGGAGAAGTTGGACATTCGGGACATCTTTAACGTCTGCCTCATGAGGACCAGCCTTCGTATGACTCTTATTAAAGAAATCACTTATTTACCCAGCATGCACCAGATCAAACAGGCTGTCAGGAAGCTCTGCAACACTGACGTGGTCAAGGTCAACAACCCCGATGGACAGGAGGAGGCATGTGTTCAGCTGGCTCCTGATGATGAGGCTTTGGATGTTGCCAGCAAAACTGGAATCAACTCAACTGACTCCAGCTGCTAATTCTAAATTGAATTTTTTTTCACCACAAGTAACCAAAGACTCAAAGAAAAAACCAGTCTGCAGGACAAATAGTCTACATGAACCTCGGCCACATCTACCCTGAGACCAGGGGAACTAGATCATGCCCCACTACCACTATAGATCATTCTAACCAGGGCCACAGTAGATGGACCCTGATTGAAAGGGAGGGAACTGTGGAACCAAACCTCAAATTTATAAATTAGAAAAAATAAGAAAATCCAGGCTTAGTGGACTGGTAGCGACTGGAGGACTCTCTGAGACTGTTGCCCTCCGATGCTCTTCAGCCTGGAACTGAAACTAACCCCGGAGGTCACCTCGTAGCTAGGTAACAGATTGACTCACAAATAATGAACATCACCCATAAACTCTGTGTTCCTTTAAAACAATCACCTCTATGAGACCAACGGTCAACAATTACAACAAAGATGAGTATGTCAGGGGGCAGGGAAACTAGATGAATGGGAGCGGAACAACCAGAATGGAACTCATGAGATGGTTCACTCATCGTGAAGAATATAAACAGTGTCAGTGAGCAACTCGTGTAGGAGCTGTTGAATGAGAACCTACGCTGCTGTATAAGCCTTCACCAAAAGCACTTTTTTTTTAATCGCACATATACAAAAAAAATTTAGGATCTAACTCCTTCTCCTCACTCCCCTGCCACCAGTGTGGAATGAGCCTTCCCAACACCCAACCTGGACCATTGTGTGACTTCCCCATTGGGCTCCTGGGTCCCACCCTCACCCTCTACAGCCTGGTTTCTCCATGGCAGCTAGACAGGTTCCATTAAAACACAGGACCCATCACATCCTCAACTCAAAACCTCCAAAGTCTCCCCACCTCCATTGACTGTTCAGTTCCTTCCCACAGTATACTAGGCCTGGAGCACCTGAGCCCTTCTTACCTCCTTCACTCTGCTTCTGACTCTCCCCGTCTCTCATCCCACTCCAGTCACTCTGGCAGCTTTGCTGATCCTGACCCACCGAGCAGGCTTCTGCCTCAGGGCCTTTGCACCTGCTGTTCCCTGTGCCCGAAGCACTCATCTCCCAGGCCTTGTCAGAGCTTACGTCATTCAGGTCTCTGCTCAAACTCACCATCTCAGAGATTGTTGTAGGAGCAACAAGGCCCTTACCGCCTGTCGCAAAGAGCCAGTGATCCCAACACGTTGAAGCGGGAGAGTGAAAGGTTTATTGAGTGTTGACACCCAAGGAGACGGTGAGAGTCACGTCTCCTAAATGTTTGTGTCTCCGAGCAAAGGGGTCAACGTGATCATATAGGGACATGGGAAGGGGGTTGGAGACCCCTTGGAGGGCCAGGAATGTCTTTGTTCTTCTCCACAGTTATTCGGGCTGAGCTGATCATCTCGCTTCATAGACTACGGTCCTCAGCCAAAACCAATCGTGGGAGAGGGTTGTGCTTAGAAGAATGTAAAATTGAAAATAACAAACCTAAAGAACCCAGCATCCATAAAGAGGTTGGCTCTTCTATTTACTTAAGACAAAGCTAAAAGGGGGCGGGGGAATAGCGAGTTAGTCACTGTGATGAGGGTGTGCTTTAACTGCTCCGCTGATCTGTTGAAGTTCTGCAGCTGTCCGCAAGGGGCCCCATAGGCCTTCCCCCCAGGCTTCCACATGGTGAGTTCAACCCACAAACTTCAGTTGCCCTCAAGTCGGCTGCCACTCGTGGCAACCCCGTGGTGTCCGCAGAACGGAGCTGCCCAGGGCTGTCAGCGGCTGATATTTCACCAGCTGATCACCAGGGCTTTCTTCCCGGGCATCTCTGGAGTCGGCTTGAACCCAGGGCCTCACTAGGGTCATAGGGGGTAAGGACTGAATGCCCTGCCACTGTCGGGGTGACACCGAAATGCCCCCAGGGTCCACGGTAGTAGTGGGTGTGCTGACACCGCAGGGCGAGGGGCTGCCAAGGCAGTGGTGTCTCTAGGGTTGAAGCCCTAACCCTAGGTCACCTTGAACGTGAGCTTATTTGGGCATATGGTCTCTGAAGATGCCGTTAGTTCAGTTAACATGACGTCGTGCTGGAGTGGGGTGAGATCCAATCTGAAAAGCAAACCCGTTTCCGCTGAGTTAATGCCAACTCAGAGGACCCCATGTGTGTCAGAGTGGGACATCCTCCAGAGAACCTTCAGTGGCTGGTTCTTCTTGAGGGGTTGCCAGGTCTTTCTTCTGAGGCACCTCTGGGTGGATTCATGCCTCTAGCCTTTTGGTTAATAGCTGAGCACATTACTGTTTACACCACCCAGGAATTTCATTACAGACTGAATTATGTCTTTCCCCACCCTCCCAGAAAAATATTAGGAATTGTAAATCCTAACCCCTGTATCCTCTGGTAGCATAGTGCCTAAGGCACTTGACTGCTAACCAGAAGGCTGGCGGTTCAAACCCACCAGACACGCCTCGAAAGGAAGATTGTGCAATCTACTTCCATGGTGATACTGCCTCGGAAACCCAAGGAGGGGTTGCTAGGAGTCGGGTCTGACTCTATGGCACATAACAACAACAACAACCACCCCTGTATCAGTGGTTAAGGGCTGTTGTGGCACTGTGATTAAAGTATTGGGCTGCTAACTGAAAGGTCAGTGGCTGTTCTAGGGGAGAAAGATGAGGCAGTCTCCTTCCATAAAGATTGACAGCATTGGAAACTCTGGGCAGTTCCACTCTGTCCTCTAGGGGCGCTGTGAGTTGGAATTGAGTCCACAGCAGTGGGTTTGGTTTGGGCTTTGCTTCCATAAACATTTACAGCTTAGAAATTCTGTGGGGCAGTTCCACCCTGTCCTCTAGGGGCACTGTGAGTGCTAACCAACTCCACAGCAGTGGGTTTGGTGGGCTTTGCTTCTGTAAAGATTTACTGCCTTGGAAACCTCATGGAGCCGGCGTGGGACCGGGCAGTGTTTCGTTCTGCTGTGTATAGGGTCACTATGAGTCAAAGACGACTCGACGGCACCTAACCACAAACCTTATGGGGCAATTCTGTTCTGTCTTATAGGGTCGCTTTGAGTCAAAATTAACTTGATAGCAGTGGGTCTGGTTTTTGGTTTCGTGTCTGGTAGTTAAGGTTCTTTGTCAACTTGGCTGGGCTGGGGTTTGGGGTAGTGTGGCAGCTGTATGTAGTTATTCCCCATGTTGAGATTGTAATCACCTCCATGGTAGACTCTACTGTGAGTGGTTAAGTGGTTGAAAGGGAGTTCCCCTCAAGCTGTGACCTGCTTCCATTGTATATGGAGAAGCTTTGAGAAAGGTCTCTAGCTTTTTGGCACATTTTGGATCCTACATTTGGCCAAGTCTTCATCTGCAGTTCCTGGACTGGAACCAGTGGCCTGCCGTATTGTCTGCCCCTCTTGGGTTTGTCAGCCTCAGCAGCCAGCAGCTGTGTGAGTTAGGAGATGCCTCCAGCTCCAGGGGGCCTGAACAAGAGGCAGAGCTGAAGCCCAAAGTCAAGGGGCTTCACCTGGGCCCTGGAAGTGGCACTCCGAATTCGGACTTCTGGCCTCTTCCCCTGTGAGAGAGTGAGTTCCTGTTTGTTAAAGCCATGCATTGTGGTATGTCTGCTACAGTAACTGGAGAACCAACACAGTATACGTGGTTATCATCCCATTGGGAAGGAGGTTGTCTTTGTTAGGTTCAGAGGCAGTATTAGTGTAGGGTGTGTCTTAAGTCAGTCTCTTCTGGGATATAAAAGAGATTAAACAGCAAGTTGCAGAGCAGAGATTGGGGCAAGAAGATGGCATACCCCATGAAGATCACCAAGGAACCAAGGAATAGGAGCTAAAGAGACTGGGACCTTCCTCTGGAGCCGACAGAGAGAGAAGGCCTTCCCCCAGAGCCGGCACCCTGAACTCGGACCTCTAGCCTTCTAAACTGTAAGAAAATAAATTTCTGTTTGTTAAAACCACCCCCTTGTGGTCAGAGCAGTTAGATAGGTAACTAAGACAGAACTTAAACTTGAAAGAAAAACCAAACCAAACTCACGCTGTCGAGTCGAATCTGACTCATAGCGACCCCTCCTTGGGTTTCTGAAGCAGTATCTCTATGGAAGTAGATTGCCCAGCTTTCCTTCTGAGGAGTGGCTGGTGGGTTTGAACTGCCACCCTTCCAGTTAGCAGTCAAATGCCTTAGGTACTATGCTACCACAGATATTTTGATTCAGCTATGTAGACAGCATGGTCTTTCACATGATGTACTGGCCTAGTGACTCTGCCAGCTTCCCCCCACCCCTGGAAGGAGTGCAGGCCACCAAAGCTCCCCCCTATCTCCTGCTGACCTTCACCACATCCTAACCCCATCCCTAGCACCCCCCCTTTTTTTTTAAACTTTGTGGTGAAATGTATCTAACAAAGTGTCTATCATTTCAAACTTTTATTGTTTTCATTTTTATTTTTAATTGTGATTTGGGTGAAAGTTTGCAGAGCAAATTCATTTTCCATACACCAGCTTACATACACTTTGTCTCATGACATTGACTGTAATCTCTCACAATGCAACAGCTCCCCTCCCACTTCCTCCTTATAGTTACCTCTTCCCTGTGTCCTTCCTCCTATGCACTCCTGCCCCCTGAGCTGTCTTCCTGTGCAAACACTGCCCTTCTGTTCTCCCATGGTTGATCGCTCCAAGGAGTGTATCTACCTGATGTAAATGTTCAGCTCATGTGCCCATTTCAAACATTTTTGTATGCACAGTTCAGTGAAGTTAATTCCCTTCACTGTGTCAAGCAGCTAACATTCTGTCTATTTCCCCTCCCCCCTCTTTGCCCGGCTCTGTCTTCATCCCATCTGTGACTCTTGACCCGGCCTTGACCACACCTTTGACCTTCACTAACAGAGAGTGTATATTGTCCGCCTGGAATTGTTAGAGGACCAAGGCTTTAATGGTTGTTTTTCAGGCTGAGACTCTATTTCTGATGGTGAAGAAGAGGTGGCATATGGGGATGAATGAGCTGGGTCCAAATTTGAGATTCAGACATTG